TAAATTTTTATTTCCACCACTCAATTAATAACAATTGATGATCAATTGAAATTTTAGCTTAACAAACAAAACTTAGTATTTTAGTGGTAAAATTTTTTCTCTAAATGAAATAAAAGATTTTAGATTTGCATTTGAATATTAGGTAAGGCAAGTAAAGGAATAGGAAAAATATAGTTTTTATTGTACAAACTAAAATTAAAGAAAAAAAAAATTAGCTTAGGTATACATAGTTTGATAAGGGCATTACGATTGTATTTAGGAGGCATATCTACAACATGTTCGAACACCAATCCTTTGGAGGACTTGCATTTGTTGCACCCACTTCTTCCCCCTTTTTTTGTTTTTTTGTTTTTTTTTTTTTTAACATTTGATAATATATTATGATAAAAGTGAAATCTAGTATTTTAAATGATTAGATTTTTTATGAAATTATTTAAATATTTTTAATGAATTTTGTAAGTGTGTGAATTTATGAAAAATATTTTAATATTTTATTATATTTTTAATATTTTAATTATTAGAACAATTTAATTTTCCTCAATCCCATACATTATCCTTTTGAAATATTTTCTCCCTTGTCACATTGATCCCTACTTTTCTCGAGAATCAAGCTCTTATATTTCCAACTTAAAAGGGGCGCCTTCATTAGACTAGGATCACGTAGTCATTCGACGGACACATTCACGGACACATTTGAAATTTGTGACAATTTTTTGTTTTTCTCCCTTTTTAACTTTCTGATTAGTCAACACTAAAGAAATCGCAATCCATGTTAGGTAATAATTTACTCTTAATCTTCAACACACATCATACCTACCGTGAACCTTCCCAAGATTGCTCCTCCCGGCCACCGCCACCGCCACCGCCACCGGCCAACCGCCCACTGCCACCCCATATATTAACTAAAATTTCCTAACAAATGCTCCTATTTCGTATACTTAAAAATAAAAATAAAATCAAGGGGGGAAATCTACCTTAATTCTTCAACTTTCTCACTTTTTTTACAGGAAAATCCAGGCCAAAAACAACTCAAAACAATATAAACATTAATTAACAACATCAAAAAAAAAAAAAAATTCAAAGCTTAATTATTTCTCACAAACAGGATCTTGAATTTGCTCAACGGAAAAAGAAGACCGCTTGATAAACTCCAAGCAATCAGCTATAGCTTCGGCATAGAAAGAGTTAGACCGCCCGAACGACCTCAACCTGGTGACCGGAGCCTCCTTCATCACCACCAAATTCCTCCGGCTTCCGCTGCTGTTATTTCTCCTCATCATCATCCCATTCTTCCTCTGCACACCGTTCTTTAACAATCGCACAGCTCTCCCATACGAAGCCTTCAATCTACTCAACAACCTAAACAAACAAAAAAACCTCGTCCTCAAACCTTGAACCGAGAATCTCCTCGAGTTCAGCCTGAAAACTCTGCCACCGCTTCCATGGCTCCTCTTCCCGCCAGCCACCCTCTTGTAGCTTACTTGACTCATTTTGATGGGGAATTTTTTTTTTTTTGGAACTTAGATATGAGTATCAGAAATATATAGAGAGATTAATTAAGACAAGAATGATCAAACGTTTAGAGTTTAAAAAATAAAAAAATTAAGGTAAGGATTTTTGATGATTGGTATGGTAGGGACGGGTAAACGTCGGTTTTCAAAGTAGGTGATTAACGCGGCCCAATAACAAAAGCTAGTTTAGCTTTTATGTTTATTAATTTTCGTAAGGTTTCTGTTTGCCAAACCAAAGCTCTGACTTTTTGCACTATGCAATTAACTCCCCTTTTTTTTTTCTTTGAAATTCCTCATTAATTAATTGTTCTCTGTCCCCATTTTAATAAGGGATTTTTTAAGGGTACAGGTTAAATCTCATTTATTACCGTATTTGTAATTAATTTTATATAAATTCTTATAAAAGATTCAAATAAAATATAATATAAAATGTAAATATAAAATAAAATAAAATATTTTACATTAAAATATGTAAAATGTTATAAATCTGATATCAAATTTGTGTAAAATTAATTGAAAATGCCTTAATTAATGAGTTTTAGAACATAAATTAGATAAATCCTTTCAATAAATAGAGTATGTGTTTTGTAATTTGTTACAGTTTCATAATTAATAAAGCCAGCTCTCAAAAGTTACGTTCTTTTGACAAAGATAAGAAAATGGAATGGATGTTTGTTTTATAATTCGTTATGGTTTCACAATCAATAAAGTTATATTTTAAGAAATTACATTATTTTAATAAAAATAAAATAAATAAAGTAAGTGTTTTACAATTCGCTATAGCTTCACTATCACTAGGGCAAATATTTGGAAGTTGCATCTTTTTGACGGGAAAAGTAAAGAGGTAGAAAATTCAAGTTATAGAGTGATTAGCTTGAACAAATTAAGCGTTTTCCACTTTGGAAAGAAGGGAGCTTTTGAATGAAGGTCAAAATTCGTAGGTAATCCAACTTTATTTTTTTCGTTTTTCCAGTCATCCATGGAATTTTGACACGAGGTAAGTGCACGGAAATGCAATGTGGCTGACTCTAGTGCTTGACTGTTGGCAGCCACCATGGCTTATTGTACAGTTCACGCCGCGGAATTTCATTTTTTTAGTTACATTAAATCAATTTATCTGGGAGCAAAAACAAATAAATAAAGTTATTTGTCTGTTGAAAACATGCTTAGACATAGATAATACAGGTCCTGCTTGCTGTGTTGCAGATATCAGACAATTCTATCTTAGTTTTGGTATGATTTTGTGCCTGTCTTCTGGTGACCTGGCGTTGCAACATGCTAGCATAAAAAAATTGCAATCTCAGATCCTCCTGTCTTTGGCTGCCGCATTTTTAAATACACTTGTTTTCTTATGATGAATTGAGTCATTAAGATTATATCCCTCTCGTTTTCAAAATCCATGTTGCTTGTTTTTGAGGATTAATCTGAGATTTTTGATAAAAACAAATAATTTAGTGGTGATATCTTTTTAATGATTTGACTCATGAATTCTTTTAATTTTGGTATTGATTGTTTGCCTTGGACTAGATCATAAAAGAATTAGTCTTATAAATTGACTTGAAAACATCATAACAACTAAAAAGGACAAGGGAGAAAATTCCTTTATGGTACATCCACTAACTTTTTCTTTGTTATTTAATGAAGGCATAATTCATAATT